TTAAAAAATCACTCACTATCTTCAAGGACTTTAATACTCTAATTACCCGTTAAGTTGAAACAGTTACTATTGCTGTTCCACATATTAAATTTCATGTAGATATTGTATAAATCATCACAATACAGTTTGATTTACTATTTTTATTGTGCTGGTGTTTATTAGATGTCTAATTGTAATGTAAGCTCAGCAATATTTGGAAATCACACGACTTTTCCTAATTACGGCGTGCATTTCACCTGCGGCTGCGCACCGTTTACCGGTAGTCCGTCTTGTTCGGTTGATGCATTGAAACGTTGAACGTTGCATGGCATTATAAAAAAGTAGACATCCAACTAATCGGGGTGTTTAACATCCTTAACGACTTTAAATATTTGTTTTCCATAGCAAGTAATGTATTTAATGTGATATAGGGAAATATAGATTAATTTATGTTTACACTATAATTTTGTTTAACTATTTGTTTCTGTATGAATAAAAAACGTTTATTGGAGAAACTTAATAGTTATTTGCTTTATAAAATTATGAAAAAACCTGGCCAACTTATGGCCATAAAGTGCATGACAATCAATGAAAACGTTTCATGTATGAAAATGTATTTACTGCACACAAATATATTCGCTAATACGCTACACCACTCCCACCAGATCAGCAGATATGTGCACCGAACGCCATTTCTAGTAGGTATTTATTATAGAATTGCAATGGTAGGTGAAATTCAAGCATAATTAATATGCTTGTTTTTCCTCCACGAGAAAAATTCTACAGAGCACGACCGTTATACAAAGAAAAATTCTACTGGGTCACATCGTCGGTTAGAAGGGTTATGTGGCGGCGCCAACCATTTTACTGAAACCATAGCCTTCTCCAGTTCGCCAGCACAATTTCATTCTACATAGACAAAACAAACGAATTCCGGTATAACCGTTGATGTTCGTTAGTTATGGAGGATATGCTCGATGGTCGCAAGTTTTTGTACTAGACTATAGTAGTACGGTAAAATATTGTAAAATATATGATAAAATATTTTCTCTGGTAAGACTTTAAATACGACAAACAACCTTTTATTACTTGCACCACACGCCACTAGACTAACAGTTTTCACTCCCCTTTCTTATAATAGTTAACCAACACCGGTAAATGCTTCCAGTTTGTGTATTTCTATCGTTCTTAACAGTCCCTCCCAGTTCAAAGGTGAATTAAAACGATTACTTTAAACAAATATTACCATTTCTTTTCATAATTATGCAGAAAAGTTTTCTATAGGAGTGAAATTTCTCAAACGCGAATATTGGAAGTTAGGGTCGGGATAGTTTGGGAGAATTCAAGTTTAAAAATTATGGAATCAAAACTTTTATTCCTGCATTGTTTCTTCATCTGTAAACGGAAGTATGGTCATTTTTAAATAACTCAAAAAATTTGAATTGTTTATGAATAAAAAAAAACATCTTATTTCTAAAGCAATGAGTTTTGAAACTGTGGTTGGCTGACACCCTTAGTACTATTCTGTTATAATAATAGCCTCGAACTCGACAACGAGCGTAGCGTTATCGCAGCATTAACGGTTCGATTAAATAAAACTTACTTCAGAATGTAATCAATGTTTTATTCCATGTAAGTTTTATGACGTGACAACGCTGCGTTCGACAACGACTTCGAGGCTGTCTTTTAACAGAATAGCATAGCATCTTGAATATGCTCAATAAATAGGAAATTCTCAAAAATTATAATAACACCTTAATAATCTAAATATAAAAAAAAAATTGTTGAATTGACTTAATAATGAATTTATTTTTTAAAAGCAACAGATTACACAAGATAATAACCATGATACATATAAATTACCCATGCTCGTGGCATCCATCAAGTTGGAACTGCCTCGCAAGATTGAGCCATAGACAATTTTAAAAAAATCCTCAAGTGGTAAAATCGACAACCAAAGAATCTACGGAAGTAATAAACTGTCCTTTATTCCTTACTTATATTAAAGACGCGAAAGTGAATCTGTCTCTCTGTGTGTGTCTGTTGCGTTTTCAGCGCCGAATTTAATGAATCAGTTTCAATGAAAGTTGTTGCACAAATAGAGTAGAGCTTGGGAGAGGACAAACTGTAGTAGTTTTTTTTTTTTGCTAAATATAAGCTTGAAGGATTTCCAGGCGGGCAAAGTCAAGGAGAAACGCTATTTATGAAAAATTTAATTAAGTTTAATAATAGTATTTATATGTCTGGGAAAATTCCGTTGAAAACATAACCAAGACGCATTAGATCTTTCGATATCTTATAACAGACGGAGAGACCACTAGCAAAGAATTAAACTTTCAATTACTATAATGCCACCGATTTATTGCTTTGACCTACTTTATAAACGATGTTGCCAGATAAACGGCACTTTTATATAACTTAAGACTTTATGCTTCAGGAATATGAACCATTTCGAAATTAATTATATGTTTGAGATAAACTGGTTCGGTTATTGAGAACAGACAGATTCCTTGAAATGATCGAAATGACAGCAAAATAATTCAACAATTGCGCTTGAAAGGAATTCCTTTTTAAATCAATTAAATAATTCAATCAATTTTGAATAATCGGATGTGTCAGCACAAGTTTATTATCTCAAAGTCCGCCTTACTTCGGAAAGTGTTCTTTTTTTATATTTTCACATTAGCTGCGCCCGCGAATTCGTCTGCGTGGAATAGTGACTTTCGGCAGCGTATTTAATTTTTAGGGTTCCGTACCCAAAAAGTAAAACAACAACCCTACCACTAAACCATCGCTGTCTGTCAGTCTGTCACCGGGCTGTATCTCATGAACCTTAGCAATTAGACAGATGAATTAATCACAGAAGCATTTCTGTTGCCGCTTCAACAACAATAAATATTTACGGGGCTCCCATACAACAAACGTGATTTTTTGTTCGTTTTCGGTTCGGAACCTTTCGTGCGCGAGTTGACTAGCACTCGGCCAGTTTATAGGCTAATTATTTTGCAAATAAAACACATGAATATTCAATAAAAAAGCTTTTTACAGTATTTCACGTTATCCAAACACAATTATAAATTATTGTTCAACTTCAGTAGACCCAAATAATGAAAACCTCTTTAGTTTTTATAATAATTTGACTTGTGAAAGTAAGCAAAGGAAAATATTAAAATTATTGATTTCTTATATTTTCACGCGCACTATCCATAAAACGTGCTTTACAGGTTCCGTGTTCTTATAGGAATTATAATGTAATTGTTATGTGAATAAAACTAAATACAAACCCGACGAACCGCTTAAAAGTTGTGTTTATTAACATTTATTAATATTAAAATTAGTTAGAAAAGCTATAAAACGTATAATTCTTTTTTAAAGATTATGGAAACATAGGCACTGTAACCACCTATTAAATTAAGTAAAACAATAAGTATATCATATTATCCTGTTAAACAGCGTGTAATATTTTAAACTAATATATGTCATTCAATTAAAATGTTCCAACTAAGCATGTTTTCAAATGTGATTTATAAATTTTCGTAGCAACAATTTTAGTTCATCCTGAATGACATGAACAGCCCTTTTAGGTCCCCACTGCAGGGGCTCAGGCCTTCCTTATGGACGGTTAAGGAGGATGGGCCATGACCCTCCACGCTGGCCCAATGCGGATTGGAGGGTATTGACGACTGCAAATGCTGCCGGGACCAACGGCTTAACGTGCCTTCCGAAGCACGGAGTGGCTCGAGATAATAATTTTTTGGTCATCCATCCCGTGACCGACCCTTGCGAAAGTTGCTTAACGACTACGATCGCGGGCCGCGGCGCTTATCCACTACGCCACCGAGCCTCCTGAATGTTATTATTAAATGTCTTTATTGACATCACACATGAGTTTCTCTTATATATAACAGTCAGTTATAATAAATGGCAAATGTATTTTATTAGGTAATCCTAAGTTAAAATTCCAAATATCTTTTTTGTTACATACAGTTCGAAGTCAAACAAACACACCAGTTTTAAAAACACAGTAGCGTCATCTAGCGAAACAGTTAATTGTAGCATTTTATTATTTTGTAGATTAACAATCCCCATTAAAGCTACTTGTTTGATATAAATCGGAAAAAATAATACAAACATAACAAAACTCAAAATTTTAAAAGTACAATAGCTTCATCTAGTGCTCAGTAGGGCAACTAAATATAACACTTTCGTATACTTAACCGATATAACATAATCGTTTAATTAGCGACAAAGATTATACCGATTAAAATTATTCAAAACATTATTTAATCCTGCGGAAACAGCTTAAATCATCTAATAATGGATTTGGAAGAGGATGACATGGAATATAATTAAAATGACTATTGAATTATAAACAATGGTTACTATGGTAACGACTTAAAGCCCTATACGAACTTCCACTCCCATTTTCATCCCTTTACGTGCTTTTTTTCGGAATAAGATATAAGATAGACAAATGCTGCCGCGGAATTTTTTTTAGAACTTTTAAAGAGGATCAATTTCGTAATACATGTTTTTTGCGAAACATTAACCGTTTACTCAGCGCATGCATTTAAAAAAATATAATATTCACCCGTTTTTGGAACATTTTACATTGCCGCTCCACTTCTATAACTCTATAATAAATGAATTATTCAGCACAAGAACAATAATTCAATGAATTCCAGTAGTTCCTGAGAGTTCAATCAAACAAACTCTTATTATTAGTATATATATTAGTATAGATACCTAACCGAACCTACCTACTTGAAATTAAGTCTTTTCTTATTCACTTATTATGTTAAAAACTTCAATTATTTATAGTCGAGAGACGTAATTACTAGAGAAAATCTCATAAACTTTATACATTTCTTACTTGTTTCAAATTAAATTATGAGATAAGTAATTACTTTTTTCGACTACAGAAATCATGAATGATAGTTTTGTTTGTACAGCAAACATGTTTTAATACACACAGGGCCACATGTATGCCTGGATGACGAAATAAGGCAAAATCAATAACAATGGAATTTAATCATAATAATTCCTATCACTATCACACAAAACAAGAACAACCAATTTCTATATACTTTTCTTTGTTCCCGCGGGTATGTGAATTGTGCGTGTAAAGCTCTTTATGGTTTTCACAGGCTTCGCAGAGTGTTGATGAATAATAATGTTGTATTTATTGTATTATAGGCGCGGACATGTCGCGTTGGCGCGGGTTCGATGGCGCCGGGTGAGCGCGCGCGTCGGCTAGGCGCCCATGCGCGCCTGGCTACTTGTGTGTGCGGCGCTCGCGCTCGCGCCGTGCCGAGCGACCGCCGCGCACGCGCAAGCAGACCTAGAGCGCATCAAGTCACATATACTGGCCAAGGTGAGACCACTTTTTGGCCTGCCCCCTAAAATACCCTGGGCATAGCCTGGATTGGGAGTGACACCCGGGAACACATGAGGTGCCACTCCCAAGGTGAAACCAATATATCTATCGCACCGTCACAGTGACCCTACCCTGTCAGTTCATGAGTTTATAGCCAGTAACCTTGTACTACGTTATTAGACGACAGCCACTCTTCTAACATAATGATAGAGATCGGACGTCCGATCACTCCCCTTATACTTGAGTATTTATCAACAAGCTCAATGCATGGTGCGCGTGCGCATTGTTCGTGCGCCGCCCGCGTATCTTTAGTAGATAAAATGATTGGCATATATGCACGCGTATCTCCGAGCCATATTCAAACACTAATAGCATACTGTTCCCATATCGCTATACTGCTTCACTTGTAGTATGTAGTTGTAGAGAACTTATTAGTCAGCCAGCGCGCGTCGACATCTCGAGATACTAATTAGTACTACCCACTAAGCCTTTAAAGCTCTTTTGCGTTCTGTTATCGAAACATATATCTAACAATAACATCCACCACTGTCGAAGTATTGGGGATTCAATAAAACACGGTAGCAATCCTGTAGATCAGGGGTTCCCTGAATAAGAATAAGTGATTATGGATTTTGAATGTCTTCATCGTTCTCCAGTTGGGGCTGTCATCGCGGCCTGTGCCGCTGGGTGCGCCACCGCGGGACGTGGTGCAGCAGATCTTGGACCGGGCCCAAGATAATAATCCTCCTGAGGAGCACAAACACGAGAGCGAGCACGCCATGAGAGAAATCATTGCGATAGCACAAACCGGTATGAAATCACATACAAAGTAGATCCCACCATTTGAAACTACACTAGTGTTATTCTGTTAAAAAAAAACCTCGAACTTTTCACCAAATGCAGCCCTGTCATAGCATTAGTAGTAGTAGTTAGTAATAAAAGTTTTATTTCATAGACTCTATGATGTTATAGCACTGCATTCAACGAGTTTGAGGCTGTTATGATCAGAATAATAGCCGATTCATATCTATTACATTTTTATTGAATCTTTCTATGAATATATAATATTTCAAGTTAAAAAAAAATATCAATATCGTATATATAATATACATACAAAAAAATAAGTTCAGTCAAATAAATAACCTCCTTTTTAATTCAGTTATAAGTAGCTCGGTGGCGTAGTGGATAGGCGCCGCGGCCCGCGATCGTAGTCGTTAAGTTTCGCAAGGGTCGATCACGGGATGGGTGACCAAAAAAAATATTATCTCGAGCTACTCCGTGCTTCGGAAGGCAGTCGTTAAAACCTTCCAATCCGCATTGGGCCAGCGTGGAGGGTCATGGCCCATCCTCCTTAACCATCCATATGGATGCATAAGGAAGGCCTGAGCCCCTGCAGTGGGGACGTAAAAGGGCTGATGGTGGTGGTGAAATAACTTTAAATTCTTTTTCTAGTTGCTAGAAAATTACATCATAGTTAAGTTATGTTAAATGAAATCCTAACACGATCTAGTAATAATTTAAATGAACCTTCCGTGTTTATACTGTGATTTATTCAGCGGTCGAGTGATTCAAACAAGGAGGCGTGAACGCGGTTAAATATAATTTAAAAAATACTTTAACATTTAAACGCTGTTTTCGTGAAGAACTCTCATTCATAATAAATGTTTGCTTCATAAACTCATTCCGTTTACAAAACAGTGTTTAGATAGTGTTATTATGCATAACTAGTGGACGCCCGCGACTTCGTCCGCGTGGAAGTCGGTATCCCGTGGGAGTGAGAAGTTTTCCCAGTAAAAAGTACCCTATGTGTTATTCTGATGTATAACCTATATTGCTGTAAAGTTTTATCCAAATCCGTCCAGTAGTTTTTTCGTGAAAGAGTAACAAACATCCATACATCCATACTTACAAACTTTCGCCTTTATAATATTAATAGGATTTATCTGATATAATAGACTGAGAGCTCGAGACGAAAATGTACAAGAATCTTAAAACGTTTAAATGCGCTAGTATTAACATCACTGACTGAGGATACCCAGTACGGAGGACAGGTGCTGGACAGGTCTTGATGGCAGCTGCCTTATTTAATGTACGGAAAATCATAACACATATTAAAATTTCTTTTTAATAATTTATAATGAGCGAAAATCTGCAATACTTATAAAACTGGCGAATAGGGAACCTCCTCTTTTTTGAAGTTGGAATAGTTAGAATGAAGTTTTTAAATTGACACAATTAATGTTACTTTTTTACGTAGGTACTTATATTAACTAAAATATGTAAATCCACTCAAATAATCCATAATAATATTATGATAACTTTATCTGTCTGTGTGTGACTCTCTTACGTGTTCACGCCTAAATTACCGAAGCAATTTTAATGAAATTTGGTACACATATAGAGTGAACGTTAGGAAAGGACATATGATAGATTTTATTTCTAAAACAAATATAAAAAGGTAAAATTTAGTAAAAAATAAAAAGGTTGTCATCGAAAGGTCGTCGAAGACAAAAACGTGAAATTTTGTAACCGAATTCCATACGTTAAAAACCTCATTAAGAGTAGGTAACTTGAATCACCAGCCCTTTTACGTCCCCACTGCTGGGGCTCAGGCCTTCCTTATGGATGGTTAAGGAGGATGGGCCATGACCCTCCACACTGGCCCAATGCGGACTGGAGGGTAGGTAACTTATTCCCGGACAAACCTAAATGAATACGTCATTTAATAAATCTGACATAGCACTTTCTTTTTAGTTTATCTCAAAAAAATGAGGTTATTTAACCATACGCAGAAGAAATAGCGTTTGTGACGTCATAACCGTCGATCATAAATGACTTATGGGACATTCTATGTAGAGCAGACGGTCTGGCCTAAAATGGGGTGCGGCCCCGAATATAGCGGGGCTAATGTTATTCATAAGAATAACGTATTAAATTGTTGTAGTAGTATTTCGAATTGATAGTAGATTGTGAAAAAATGTAAGGTTAATTTTGCGTAAAAAAAAATTGTTATATAAGTATGCGTAGCAGGTAAGCATTCGTATAGCTAGTATATTATCATAGACCGCATGTTATATGCTAAAGTGTTAGGAACGATTAAAAGTACATCAAATATGGCAGCACTTGAAGTAAAGTTATGCATTTCGTTTTACACGATGATGCGTTTTGGGGCTTATGAACATTAAAGAATGAAAATAAACTACAACGAATCTTTTGCGTTGATTTTATATATGAGAACTACTTGGTAATACCGAACACCCAGCAGTTAGTACACTTTGGGACACTGGACGCGACATCCGATGTACTAAATAATTTAACAAACTGAATTTATTTAATTTCTTTATTTGGTTACTATTTACTGACTTGTAGATTTTAACTTAAATTGAGTCGTTCTTTTGATAATCATTTGAGGTTTTTAATAATAGTAAGTTTTTTAAAGACACTATATAAGTATGCAATTCGTTATGATCTGCAATGATGAGACAGAATGATATTTTAAAATTAATACAACGCTTATCTCATCGCTATATTTCTAACCCCGTCCCCCTAAACATCTAGATGCGACCTAAGCTTATAGTCAAGTATATATTCGTAACGATAAATATATCTTATCAATGTCTGGCACTGGCAAATGCGAGACATTTGGCAAGCACACTGATCATTGTCGATTACTTATTTGGCTATCTAGACATCGATCAAGACCTCCCAAGAAAAGGTTTCCTCAAAGTTGTAGCTCAACAACACACCTATTAAGAGGCGTATCTAACTGGTCGTCGATTAGTATAACGATAAAAACGATCGTGTGACAAACTTAAAAAAAATCCCTTATTTTAAATTGATAACAAACAAAGAACAAAATTAAATGTGGAAATATAAATATAAAATGTGGGAATATAACTTTCGTAATGGCCGTTCAAAGCTTGGGTGAGAAAAAAATCTTAGGAAAGTATAAATAACTAAATATCGAGATCTACCAAGATTTATATTAGGTCTGGCTTCATTGATATCAATACACACTGAACGCGCGGTAGGTTACGGACATGTTCTCCCTGTTCGTCCATAGGGCCTGTACACACAGTGCAATAGGGATGTTAATGGGCCGTTGATGATTCAATAAAAAAGTCTAAACCCAGTTGTCCACGCACGGTAACGAATAACTTTAAGTCTTCATAAATGGAGGGTTATTTATTAGACTGAGTATATTATTTTGTATGTATATTCCGTAGATAATAAAAGACATCACAATCACACAAGATTTATCAATTTTATAATTTTAGTTTAAAATTATTACATTTCACCATGATGTGAACTACAAATCGAAAATATGATTATTCAGTAATTCCCTGATGGACTTCATTTTTTTATTTATAAAATCACTCATTCTTTTTAATTTTCTTAACCAAACAACCTGAGTTGTACCTCTGTTCTCGAATACTCCACAATACGGGACCTTTAGATACTCATATTGGAATCTGAGTAACGAATGTGATTAGTCTAATATTTAATTATTTGAGTTTCTTTTTTTTCAATACCCTTGAATTGTTTGGCTGGATAATTCATTGGGTATTGATTTCTCTTCAAATATTTATAAACTTATTTATTTTACATTTATTGTTAACGTTCTGTTACATTCAACGGTTAAGATTATCTAATACCATATTAATAAAAGTTTACAGCTACCCTATAAGTTAATTATACTTAAACTTCAAACCACTTACATTTGTTTGATTTCATTAATAAATCACATTATTATTAAATAAGTAGTAATTCATATTGTTTAGCCATAGTTTATAATTATTTTATGTGTACGTTTATAAACGGCGAAACGACCCATCTGTTCAAAGAATAATATTTTTTATTTACCTTATTATATGTCTATGCGGTGTTATGAGTTTGATTACAGATCTATTGAATTACTCTGAAGGGATTGCTGTTGAGAATCATTATAAATGTGAGTATCAAATGTATAGTCAGATAGTTAAGTTTGTGTCAATTGAATTTCCATTTAAGATTAGTGTATTATAATTAGTATCACTAGAAATAAAGAACGGCACTCCAGTACAATCAAGATTGGTCTACGATACTAAATGCAATCCTGATTTGTTTGCTGACAATATAAATGATAGACCGTCATTTATTTTCACTTCAGTATAGGTTAAAACTTTTATTGATTTTATTAATAAATATCTTTTATGCTAATCAAAAATAGCATATCTGTTTTGATAACTAAACTAAGCTAAATGAAGCTTAAGAGTTAGGAGGTTACAGCCCAGACTGAAATACTGAAAAAATAGAAAAAGAAAACTGTTCTGTTCTTCTTCGAGAATTTTTAAATAATTAGACTTATAAATTTTCTTACATATCCCGACTGGAATTGAAAGTAACAACTCAGTCAGGGCAAAGAATTTGTCGTAAAAATACATATATAAATGACAGGAAATTTCATTACTTTTCAGGGTATCAGCAATGGTATTCTGCGTAAAGTACAGCGTCAAGGACAGCACTGCGACAGCGCTCTCATGTATCAGAGGGTCAAGCAAAGGAAACCTACTTTAAAAGGTAATAAAGGTTTTATGAAAAATATAACACAAAATTAAATACTATATAAATATAACTGAAAAAAAATTACTAGAAGAGATTTGTGATTTATTAGCAGAGATTTACTAGAAATGAACTTTTAGTTATAATAAGTGATAAATGTTTACCTTTTTCAAATCTTTATATTTCATGAATGCAATAAAATAAAATATTTTCTTCTTCCTGAGTGTCTTAGTTTCTTCGTCGTCGGTGGGCAACCGTATTTGTTAATATTTTTTTGAGATATAAATTACATGGTTACATTTCCGTTAATTTTTTCGTTATTTTGTAGATAAC